ATTAGTGAGTAGACAATTACAATTCATGAATTTATGAAAGGCAGATTTGACTTATAGAAAAATTGTAACATATTTTTATTTTAAATAATTTTTTTATTTTTTAATTAAAATTAAAATTAAAAAAATTAAAATAACATAAAAAAAAGTTCCATTCTATTTAAATTTTGGCCAAAGAGATGGTGAGTCTATGTATCATTTATTTTACGGAATCGTGGCATTAAACAGAACCATAACATTATAAATGTTTTACCAACTTAATTATGAGTGACCAATTAACTTTGTCCGCGTTTGTGAGGCCGTGACGATCAACTTAAATAATTATATTCATAAAGTTATTAATATTTAATAGTTATAAATATGCTATCTTCAAAAAAAAAGCTACATTTTATATATTTTTGTAGCTGTATTTTTGTAGATGTTCCTTATATTTCAATTTAAAAGTTGATATAATTTTTATTACAATAAATTAAATAAAAAAAAACATTAACTGTACAAATACAAATTGATATTCTTATTTATAAAATTTTAAGTATTAATATATTAATAATACAAGTAATTATAAAATTGAGAGAAAAATTTAACATATATTCGAACTTTGATCGAAATTATTATAATGGTATCAAACTTCTGAAAGAACACTTTACTTCCTACACTTTTTATAGTACATTTTAAATGTATATACGTGTTTATACAGACATCATAAATAATATATAATTATAATAATAACATATCCACATAAACATATAGAACTTTAAAATACATTTGTTAGGTACTATAAAAGTAAAAGATCCTCAAATAATATAATAATCATAATTACGATAAAATTTAAAATATTTTCAAAAATTTATAAATACAAATATATGTCTTTCAAATTAAAATACCACTTGCACTAAAATATGGACAAACAGGACCTTAAATTCTCCGTGATCTCCATCTCTCTGACTCGGCGGTCCTACTCGAGTGAGTTAATATATATATATATATATAAATTTAATATTTTATTTATAATATTAATAGAGGACACACCGTTCGGTGAGTGAAAGACGAGGAAATGTCAATTCCAGTGTTTTCTAGGAGGCGCTGTGCGTCGACTGACATAATTTCTATTGAAACGTATATAATTTCAAGAATATCCTTCACATTTTATTATTTATTTGTACATTTTCTTTGCAACAAATTTTTTTTGCTAAAACAACTTCTCCTTTCTTTTTTTCAAATATAAGATTACGTAGTTATACTATTACATCAAAATATTTTTATGAAAAGTTAGCAAAGAACTCTTTTTAATCAAATTTATCATCACAGTAGTAAAAAATTTGATTAAATTATATTGAAATTAGATTTATCTATTTTTAAAATAACAAGATACTTAAGAGGCGACAAAGCCTATTAAAACACCAACAAATTAAAAGACACTAGAAAAAAAATCAAAATAAAAGTAAAAACTTAACAACAAAGAAAATAAAAAGACTTTTAAGAACAATTTTATAATTATTTAATCTAATACAAAAGTTAAAATTATTAATATCTAGAATTTCTTGATATTAATAATATTCAATAGAGTTCATAACTAATTCTTGCAATATTTATTATATATGACATTAAAAAATTATATACTATTAATACACGCTTAATACATACATTATATTCTTAATATAATCTATCAAACTAACCCTTTTAAGACATTTATGGACAGGTGAACTACATGAACGATGTATAACTTTTCAAATACAAAAATAAAAAATTGGAAAACTATAAAATTAAAACTCAAAGCTTGGAAAAAGAAATTAGAAAAAGAACGGCAAAAAGGTAGTACTAGTGAAGACAAAATAAAGAAAACAATAAAGGAGACATTATTAATTGAAACTCGAATAAAGGAGTTTAGTGTGGGCACAGGTTGATGAAAATAATAATAGTCATGCATATATAGGGGCTATCAATAATTAAATACAAATGCATTCAATATTTCTTTTCTAGAAAATTAAATAAAACCATGTATGGAAAAAGGAAAAAGTGGAGGAGATAATTATAAAGTGATTTGAAATCGTATGCTTGTCCATAAGATATGAAAATATAATTTAAAATAATTATATCAAATTAGATTGATATGAAATTAAATGTGAAATTTAAATTTCTTAATTAGTATTTCCCTATAAACATGAAACATTTCAGAAGTCCAAAAATTATCACAAAGATTTATTATTATTATTATATATAAATCATGATTCCAAATTGAAAGTCACCATTTTGAGTATGGTTAATTTAAAAGAAATATATTTTATAAAAATAATTCTTAATATTCTCATGTTCAGTTGGTTAAAATATTTTAATTTTTTTTTAAAAAAAAGAGAAAAATGAATTATATGATAAACATAGAGAATACATTTTTTATAAACATATCGAATTCATTATCTCTATCTCGTCCAACTAAATGACCGCCACTCGCAAACCCTCGCTACTTACCTTTTTTCCTACATATTTAAATAGTTAAAAGAAAAATTATTTATAGATAAAAAAAATTCATTAATTTTGAGAATTATTTTGAAAATAATATATTTTTACTTCATATAATTTATTTATTTTTATATCGCACGTACAAACGCAAACTAAACAAAATAATGGGGTGAAGGACAACGAACGTGGTAAATAGAAGCCCCCTGGCAGTAGTCGACTGTGGATGAGCCACGACTATATTTTAAAACAAATGGCTACGTGGCATATTTTAACACCACACACGTGTCCCTCTGTCTCTTTCAATATCTTTCATATAAGAGTTAAGTAGCGAGGACAAAATTTTTATTAATATCTATAATTATAGCTAAAAATGAGTACGAAGCTAATAGGACTAAAATTCATGATTTTAAGAAATTTTAGTAAATTCCTTGATTATTAGACTAAATCGTTCTAGAATTGTAAAAATTTATATATATATATATATATATATATAATTAAATTTA